AAGGAATCCTTAAATTCCAATCATTCTTCGCGTAGACTCGAGTTTATTTGTTTTATTTATGCCTCAGTGACAGAATTGAGCTCCTATCTTTCAATTACTCCTCATCGGCAGATTCGAGCTTTACAGGTTGAAGCACTTCTCGTTGATGAATGCATGAATGCATAATTGGCAATACTCGTCCATCCTGGCCCAAAGTGAATAGGTTCCAGTCCTCGTCAAGTCCACCCTCGAAAGGCGGGAGTTATGGAGTTGTACATAAAACCAGACGGCGGTCCGCTCGTCTGTCCGCAGGCCTTTCCGGTCTGTTTGCATGCAAGGCAATGTCGGCTAAATTCACTTTGCGCTGGGTCAAAATGACAAGTTTGAGGCATGTTCACATTGAAAACATGTACCGCCGTAGATTGTAGTGACCTATAAATGCTGGTTTTGTAATATTGCAATAATAAATATTGTAAATAGCTCAACTGAGTGTGCTAGATTGGGTTTGGAATGGCATCGGGGTGCTGATGGTGATGATGATGATGCTGGAGCTGGTACTAACGAGAGGGGTGATGAGATTGCAGGCGAGTTTGGCTGAAAAACATGTCGGGAGGCAAGACCATGAGGTATATACATTTGGCTGGGTGAGATACAACCATTATCACTCCTTAAATTAGCTTCGACTAGAGCATTGTACAGGATTTATGATGGTTTCATCCGCATGTCTCTCCCCAACCCGAGGAAGCATGAGCTTTTCTTCGTTCTCAGTTGGATTTCGCGACTGGCGGTAGATCACATTTTGGCGCTGTCTTCAGCCTATTTCGTTTAAGGTGATGACGGATTGGTACTTGATTTTTCCCCAAATCGTAATTATCAGAACTGACCTTTCCATTCAATTCGACAGAGCCATGCTTTGCCAAAAGTTGCTCGCATCCAGGCACCGGTGGACTGCAGTCTCGGCCTCGCCCAGGTCTTGCATCATCAACCAAGCGGGACTCGAACCATGTCACTATGGCGTATAGACGAATGCACATGCTAAGTTCAAAGGGGGTCAGTCGTTTTGACATACCACATTCTGCGATGGGATTGTCAAGATTTGCCATGGCGATAGAAGATATTACTCATTTTTCGTTTAGAGTAGGCTTCCGAGACATTATGGGCATTATTCCTCGTCCTTTAGTCGAGTTGCCAGATATGCTTTATTTGGACATCCGGGACCACTTGCAGCAAATCTTCTTCAAACAGCATGCATATGTACCTGCTTATGCGTACACATACAACGCATGTATGCACAAGCATACATTTATGCCAACAATGGTACATAGGTGGAAGCAAAGTTAGGGTGGGCCGGACGGACATGCGAACAGAAGAATAGAGAGATCCGGAGATGGAGGTCAATTTGCTGAATTGTTCCGGCTTCTGGCGTCGATGGAGTGCATGAAGAAGGCACCGAAATGCGCCAAGTTATGACTGATCGGTCACTATTCACACAAACTCGCATACACACACGTGGCCATTTTGTATTGCCATGAGTATGCTGATTTCAAGAAGTGGAATTTTGAGGTCACCAGTAAATCAG